TAAACTGCATGATCTAAAAAAAAGAGACAGAAATGGCATCAAATAGGGCTATGATCTAAAATCCTTGATCATCTAAACAGAAAATTTCTATAATTACTGGAATGGATAAATGTCATGTCAGTTAAAAGAGGAACTTCTTCATGGTATCCTTGCCTCCCCTCCAGTCCCCCATGGTGCTGAGGATTGAACCCAGCACCTTGTGCATGTGAAGCAAGCACTCTACCAACTGAGCTAGATCCCCAGCCTGGTGTCTTTGCTTTTTATGTATTAACCAGCACATTTAAATCTTCAAAAACAGAAAGAAAAAAAAAAAAAGCCAGGCAGAGGTGCACACACCTGTAATCCCAATGACTGGAGAGACTGAGGCAGGAGAGTTGCAAGTTCAAGTCCAGCCTTGGCAGGCTGGGGATATAGCTCAGTTGACAAAGTGCTTGCCTTGCATGCACAAGGCCCTGGGTTCTAATCCCCAGCACCACAAAGTCCAGCTCTGGCAACTTAGAGAGACCCTGTCTCAAAAAAACACAAAAAAACAAAGTTGGGGATATAACTCAGGGTAAAGTGTCCTGGGTTCAATCCCCAGTACCAAACAAATACATAGGTAAATAAAAATAAATCCTCATGAACTACTGAGGTGATTCCATTTCTATTTTATAGAAAAGGAAACAGCATGCCAGCTGCAGTGGTGCACACCTGTGATCCCCGGGACTCGGGAGGCTGAGGCAGGAAGATCCCAAGTTCAAGGGAAAGTGCAGCACTTCAAGGTAAAATAACTTGCCCAAGGTCACACAGTAGAAATCCTGGCCTACTAGACTCTATATTGTCCAATCTGTAAAGGGTTTGCATGCCTCTATCCTCAGAAGGTGACTGTTCCTTGAGGGAAGCAGTTATTTTGCCCTTTCATGTGCTTTATCTCAAACCCTAGTGGTGTCTGGCAAGTCCAGAGGCAATGACAATCAATTAAGTTCCTTGACTCATCTGTTCACAAATATTTGTGCCTTATCTATGAACAATACTGAGTTTCTGGGGACCAAAACTGTATCATTTTTTTTGTGTGTGTTTGTATGTGTGGTGCTGGGGATTGAACCCAGGGCCTTGTGAATGCAAGGCAAGCACTCTACCAACTGAGCTATATCCCCAGCCCCAAAACTGTATCATTTTAGGTAGTAATAATAGAAATGAAGAAGAGGGAATTAGAGAAGTGTCTGAAAAAAAAAACAAATAAGGAAACACGCCATAAGACAATGGAGCACCTTCCAGGATGAAGGAACAGTGGGCACAGCTTGAAGGCCTTGAAGGAGAAATTAGTTTTGTTGGGATTAAAGGAACAGCAAGGCAGCTAGTGAGGCTTGAGCAGATTAAGTGGCAATGAAATTCCAAAGCAGATTCAGCTCAATCCTATTAGATGTTTTGTTGTTGTTATTGTTGTTCAGTTTTGTTTTTGAGATGGAGTCTGTGTTGTCCAAGCTTGTCTTGAACTTCTGGATTCAAGCGATCCTCCCTCCTCCACCTTCTGAGTAGCTGGGACGACAAGCACACCACTGTGCTTGGCTTTTTTTAATATTTACTTTTTAGTTATAGTTGGACACAGTACTTTTTTTTTTTAATTGATTCATATGTGGTGCTGAAGATGGAACCCAGGGCCCTGCATGTGCTAGGCAAGCGCTCTACCGCTGAGCCACAACCCCAGCCCCTATTTGAGGGTTTTGAATGGACATGTGATCTGCCATGGGCTGTAGGGAATTGAACACATGTGCATGATGGGTATTGGGCGGTGGTCAGTATCACCAACCTGACAATACTAATTACTCAATTTTCAATAAATGATGGTGGTGGGTATGAAATGGGAGATGAGATTAGGAGATGGAGGATGGTCTAAATAAACTCTGCTTTGGACATGTTAATTTTGGTATGCCTTTTAGATATCAGATAGCATTATGGAGTTGGTAGCTGGATAGGAGTTTGTTTGGGAGATTTAATGCATTAGTATAAAGATAACAAGGAGCTGTAGAACTGCAAAGGCCTATTGTCCACTTGGCCACCATGGTGACCACTGATGTTAAGAAGCTCCAGGCTGTGGGTAGGGCTGGTATAGGCATGGATAATACAGATCTTGAAGCTACAACAAGGAAGGTCATCCTGGTCACAAACACCACCAATGGGAACATCCTCAGGGCTGCAGAGCTCACCTGTGGGATGTCCATGTGTCTGGCCAGACAGAATCTCCAGGAGAGAGCTACAATGAAAGATGGCAAATGGAAGTGCAAGTTCATGAGAAGATCCTGGGAATTCTTGGCCTGGCTGGGATTGGGAAAGAGGTTACCTGGATGCAGTCCTTCGAGATTATAGGTTCCAACTCATGTTTTTGCATAGGTTGGCTCAGCTGCCTCTGGGGACAGGCTTGCTGAACAGCACCTCTGCCCAGCACAAGAGGGTATGGTGAGCTGTGCTCACAAAGGAATGGTGGACAAAGACACCCTTCTCTGGGGCCCCACAGTCTAGCTGGATCTTTGCTAGATGTGTTCATGAGGAGCTGCTGTAGGACTGAGCCCTGGTGGATCATCTGTTGCCCTCACCTGGCACCAGCACCAAAGTGGCCCAGAGCCAGGCAGATCTGCCAGTGGACAGTGAAGGGAACTCTCTAGCAGGGATTGTAAATGCCCAGGCTCTTATAAAACTCTTTCAGCACCTTCTCTCCACTCTCAGTCTTGGATTAGTCTGACAGAAGCTCTGCGGACACTGATGTGAGCCTGGCCTGGTTGCTGTAGACTAGCTGGGTGACACAAGAAATCTGGGACTTAAAAATCCAGTCATGGTTGGCCTTCTAAAGAAGCTTCCAAGTAGACAAATGTGAACTTCGTGAAGACCAATGAACTTTTTAGGAGGCTGGCTTCAATGCCATCTCCTCCCATAACCTTGCCTTACCAGGAGGCCAGCCTATGCGGAGTGTCTCCTATCATGCTGTGGGTTATGGCCAGTAGCCAGGGCACCCTGCTTGTGCTGCAGGTGTTCAGCAGAGCAGTGTTCAGGCCCAAAGTGCCTCACGGCTGGGGCTGAGGGTGTCCCTGCTCCTGTTCCTGGCTTAGCCTCCCATCCTGCCACACTGTATAACACCACTGGCTTCCTGGCAGAGGCCGGTTTGAGTTTGCTGCCCCACCAGACCTCCCTGGAGTCAGATGGAGAGTCTGGTATGTCATAGCCACTTCCAACCTGCACCCCAGCCTGCAAGAATGGAGCAACTGTGACCAGGCCTTCCCAGTCCACTTCACCTTGGGGCTCACTGCTTCTGGGGGTTTTCTGAAGAAACTTACCCACTGGGATCAAAAAGGAGAGGAGATCCACCTTCTTGGGCCGAAAGCATGCCTAACCCTTCTATGCCACCTTCTCCTGGCCCATGGTATAGTAATAACCAACCAATAGTCTCCCCACACTCCTAAAAATCAAGAACTAGAGATGAAGTTAAGAAAGGCCACCAAGGACAAACAGTAAATTATTTGAAAGGATCCAGTAGAGCTAGGCATGGTGGCACACACCTACAATCACAGCTACTTGGGAGGTTGAGGCAAAAGGATTTCAAGTTTGCAAGATCAGCCTGGGGAACTTAGTGAGACCCTGTCTCAAAGTAAAAAAAACAAAAAGGGTTGGGTGGGGCTGAGGATGTAGCTCAGTGGTAGAGCCCTTGCCCAGCCATGTGTGAAGCCCTGGCTTCATCCCAAGTACCGCCCCCCTCAAAAGAATCCATTAGAGACAAAATAGCAGCTAGTGAGATAGGACAACTAGTTCATCAAAAAAGGTGAACCTGTAAGCCAGAGCTGCCTCTCAGAACTCAACAGAGATTTAATACATCACTGAACCAAGAGGCTGGGGGCTAATACAACAACTGAGACTGCTCAATTTGGCAAAATGGAAGTTGCTTGGGACTGTAACTCGAGCTGTCAAGGGGAAGAATGTAAGCCTAGGGCATAATCAGAACAAGTGGATAAGTGAAGGAAAGGCTGAAGAAGATGCAAACACTCCAGTGTTAACTGGTTTGTTCATAGTGGAAAGGGCAAGTCAGCAACCACCATTTTAGAAACTGGCATTTTATATCTTCCCTCAGTCAGAAAATTACACAATTAAGAGGAAGCCCTGTGCAACAGCCTCAAAAGAGGTCAAACTCCTATACATATAAAATTCTATCCTCCACCATGAAGCTGCTGTACTACTTTAGCCCACAGGACTTTCATCAAGCAAATCATTTAAACAACCAGCGTAGAAATCTCTCCTCAGTGGTGAAGGTACATTTACAATCCATGTATTTTAGGTTAAAAAAAAAAAGTTTTCCTGAAACTAAAAATTGTTAGCATTTTCTTTTCATTTTTTGCTTCAACTGTCAGAAATTATGATAAAATTAACTACCCAAATGTCAACAGGTTTGGCTTAGGTTCCTGGTGTCAACATTTCCCTACTTCTTTCAATATGCATGTTGCTCCTTTACCTTATGCTGTTACCAATTCCAAATTTTTCTCAAAATTATTTTGCTCTGTTAAATATTATTTTGGGGGAACGGGTTGCTTAGGGCCTAAGTTGCTGAGGCTGGCTGTGAATTTGAGACCCTCCTGCCTCAGCCTCCCAAGTCACTGGGATTACAGGAGTATACTACTGTGCCCAGCTTCTCGGCTAAATTTTAAATGCAAAAATGTCTGTGGATGGCCAGAGTATGCTCCAGTCATTCCTACACCTCATTCACTCAGGGAACAAGCCAGGATGTCTCAGGGGGTACACCCATGTGTCTGCCTGAAATTCTTCTCTTTGCCTGGTGAACTTGTCCCTCCAGCATTTTATGTTCCAACCACACCCTGTATTTTATAGTCTTTATAGTAATCATTAAAATAAAGATGATAAACCTTTGTTTCATTGCCATTATTTTTCCTGCCCAACTGTTTCCCCATTAAAAGGGTAAAGAGATTTCTAAGAAAGATAATTTTCTTGCAGTACTGAGACAAGAAAGAGGAAGCGGCAAACATTTTTAAATTTAGAAATTTATTCTGTTTAATCCACGAGCTTTATATAGCTTTAGTTTAAAAAAAAAAAAAAAAAAAAGAGAGAGAGAGAGAGAGAGAAACAAAAACAGTGAAACCAAGACACTATTTTCAAAGTCTGGGCCCTTCCAGCCTTCCAAATACAAGAGCTCTGAAAGCTGTATATACCAATTGGAAGAACAAGACAAAAATATGAATGGAGCTGTGACATTTTATAAAACAAAATTTTAGGTTAACTGAAGGATCCTTCCTGGGACTATTTAACTGCCTTTACAAAAGGGGCGGGGGAGATGAAAAGAGAAAAATCAAAAAGAACAGAGTAGGATGAAATTCCAGTGTTCCGAATCAACTTGTAACATTACTATAAACCCAGTGTCCTGGCGAACAGCATGCGTTCATTTTTCTGTCTCATTCTAGAGCTCGAATCCTGATTCATTTCAGCAAAAGCTCCACAGGCAACAGGAAAGATTGTGGCATTAAAATGTTCATTTATACTTTTGTGGTAGTTCAGCAGTGGTCTTATTTCTGGGAAAGCTTACAAACCATACAAGGTTGGCAGCATAACTTAAATGGTGGTAATAGTCAAATGAGAAAAAGTAAAGAAAAAGAGAGGGCGAAAAAAAAAAAAGAAAAACAAAACAAAAAACAAACCTGTGGGAACAGCCAGGAGAGTGTAGAGGAACCATGAGAATGCCAACAATACTTAAACCCCCTTTTTTAAAAAAGGGATTATTTTTGGCTTAAAATATTTCACTCTAAATGAATTTATGTCAGCTGTCAATGAAAGAATGTCACTAATACACTGTGGACACCTTTTGCAATGTAAATCCATGCCCTTTTTTTTTAAACATGGTGAACTTCAACCTAGCAATTATTACAACAAATGTTATAGTCTAAAGCTCAAACACATTTTAGCAATTTTGAAATTGAATTGAGTACAAACCAAATAAAATTTACATCGTAACAAACATTTCCACCTAAGACTGAGGGGACACTTGAGCCTTCCGCATGGACCTCAGGGCTTTTTCTCGCAGGTGCTTTTCTAAGTCATCAAGGTTATCTTCAGCTTCACTTTCAGTCTCCTGAAAATCCAGAAAGTCACACTATTAAGTATTGAGACACGAGGGAGAAATGCTGAGTAAAGAATTACATTGTGATGATGGCTGCACAACTCTGGATATGCTAAACACCATGAGCTATGCACTTTAATTAATGGGCCAGCTGTATGATATATAAATTTTGTTTAAAATTAAAAGAAAGTTTTTTTTGTTTTTTTTGAGAGAGAGAGAGAGAGAGAGAGATATTTTTAATATTTACTTTTCAGTTTTTGGCGGACACAACATCTTTGTATGTGGTGCTGAGGATCGCACCCGGGCCGCACGCATGCCAGGCGAGCGCGCTACCGCTTGAGCCACATCCCCAGCCCCCCAAAAGAAAGTATTTTAAAAAATAATAAGATTTTTGGGCAGCCATTTATGTTCATATTCTTGGCAGGTCACCAAAAATATGAATAACAGCTAGGGAGCCAATTATTAGAGGAAAAAATAAGTTAGCTATTTCTTAAAAAAATAAAAATAAAAATAAAAAAATCGAATGATTTCTTCTCATCTGTCCACAAGGCGGAACAGTCAGTAGATACCTTCTTGGGCTCCGGTGCTGCCTCAGGTTCCTCCTGTGCTGACGTGGTTGTGGCGGCGGCAATGGCTGCAGGAGTCACAGGCGCAGCAGCAGCTGCGGCCATTGCCTTTTCCTTCTTGTGTTTTTTGTGCTTCTTGTGTTTCTTATCCTTTTTGTGTTTCTTGTCCTTCTTTTTCTTCTTTTTCTTTCCACCTCCTTCTTGATCTGAATTCTAGAAATCCAGAAAAATGACAGCAAGATAATCAATCTAATTAAAAATTGTGTCCACTGAACATTTTATTTCCTCAAGGGAACACCTAAATGGACAATCTCCAGACTTCAGGGGCCTCACGGTTACAGCAAAGGTGAACTTCACAAATTCTAACAGCGAATGTCCTTGAAGGTAACTGATTCTTACAAATTTTCCCTAACTAACTTTAAGCCAGGATTCCAAACTTTAGAATTTAAGGTCTCCAAGACTAGAACGAGTCAGGGCCTAACTACAGTTGAGTTCATTTCCAGCTCCTGAACTTGAAGATTAAATAGGAATGTCAGGGGACTAGAAATGTGGCTCAGTGGTAGAGCACTTGCCTAGCATCCACGAGGCTGTGGGTTTGATCCATACGACTACAGAAAGAAAACAGAAGTAAGAAATATCTGTAAATTATCCACAACCCTTGCCTAAGATGTAGCAGGTTTTTTAATAAATGCACAGCTATAGACTATTAACACATCTGTGTGAAATGTCATTATCTCTAGTCACTATTTGACCTTGCCTATCATTAGAATAAGAATGATTTGTTCCTCTTAACTGCAGATACTTCTCAATTTATGATGGGTTTATGTCCTAATAAACTTTGTGATCCCATTGAAGTTGAAAAGGCACTTAATACACTTAACCCACTGAACATTATGGCTTAAGCTTAGCCAATACCTTGAGTAAACTCAGAACACTTACAATGGCCTATAGCTCGGCAAAATCATCCAAATACAAAGTCTATTTTATAATCAACTGTTTAGTATCTCATGTAACTTACCGAATAATATGAAAGTGAAAAATAGAATGACTGTTCTGATCACTAACCTAGGAAAAGATCAACATTCAAAATTCAAAGTCTCTACTGAATGCAGTTTCACACCATTGTGAACTCAAAATCAGAGGCTGACTCATCAAAAGTCACTTACTATCTGTGTATCAAATTAATTTATGAAGGGAAAAAAAAAAAGCTCCTGCTATAATTGAATCTATTTTTTTTTCTTTGGTGCTGGGATTGACTCCAGGGCATTAAGCTACAGTTCCGCCTCTATAAATTGTAATTTCATGTTTTAAAGCAATTACATAAAATATTTCACAATCCAATTGGCTTATACAATTCAATAAATTCTAACCACTGACTTTATTTAATATAGAAATCTGTCCAAGATTAGGTTTGATTCACAAAGGAGAAAGAGTTTGAACTCCAATATTTTAATACTGATATTTTCTCTACTTCTCAGTGACCAGACCTAAAATTTGCAAAAGATGTTCAAAACAAGGCAGACACAAACCCTGGCTGGCGATGGGCTCGGTGTTGGGCTTTTAGCCTTTTTGACCGGTACCGCTGGTGACCAGTTTGTTGAGGGTGACTGAGACTGGACAGGGGATGGAGGTGCTGGGGGCTTTTTAGCTGCTGGTTCAGGAGATCCAGAGACAGATCGGGAGGATGAGACCCTTCTTACGGACTGTGGGCTTGGTGAGGCAGCCCTACATGAGGAAGACAAAACAAAGTGCTTAGCACCGACAACAAACATCTACTTCTAAGAGAAAATAATCAACTACAACATATAATCAGGTTAGATTACAAACATTTTGCAGCACTAGTTGAGTCTACTAGCACATCAAATTTACATAATCTAGGTCTCAAGCCCCACAATCCTCCCTCATTAACGATCCTTCCTATAGGAAATGAGTAACGCACATTCCTTAGGGTTAAGACTGCCTTCACCCATGTTATATGCACACAGAAGAAATGTTCTATGTAACACTTCAGAGCTTGCTTTTGGAAGCACACTGCTCAAACCCCCAATATATTAAGAACCAAACAAAATCCTGTGGCATTTAATTTACACTGTAAGAAACTATCCTGAAATTAAAAAGGATTTGTGAATAGCACCAGTACCCAAAATATGCCTTAATAGTTTATATTCACAGCTTATTCCTTTCTAAAACTTCTTGATTTGGGGGCCAGGGGGAGAATTTCCATATATACACAGCTATGCAACTAATTATTCCTAACCAAAAAGTACAGAATATTTTTACTTTTTTGTCTTTTTAGGTTCTGGAGTCCTGGAGACTCTCCTAATGGGCCTAGTACTTGGAGATGGGGACTGCCTTCTTTGGGGTGATGCTGATGCTCCTCGTCGAACAGGTGGAGGACTTGAGGATGTCTGAGGAGCTCGAGGCCGTGGCGAGGGAGAATGCCGTTTGTTTGGTTGTGGCGACCGAGCCTCCCGGGTAGAGCGGCTTGGGGAAGACCCTTTCCTATGCTTTGATGATAAAGAAGGCGAACGTCTCTTGGCGACTGGAGAGCTCCTCTGTTTGGGAGGAGGAGAATGGGAGACCCGGCGCTTTGGTGGTGGAGATGGAGATGCCCTTCGTTTAGGAGGAGGTGGAGGAGAGGCTGTTCTTCTCTTTGGAGGTGGAGAAGGAGAGTATCTCCTCTGTATTGGAGGAGAGTATCTTCTTGGGGAAGGTGAGCGCCGACGAGGGGGAGGAGAAGGAGTCCTAGGAGAAACATACATCACCAGTATAAGCTAAAACGTCCAACAGATCAGGAAATCAAATGCATGGGGCCAGAGTAACCAGAAGTTACTAGCACCCTATAGTTAGCAGCGGGCAGAAAATATATTTGTAAGTGGACATGCATGTCTGTAAACAAACACCCATCCTGGCCTTCCTCTTGATGCTTCACTTCCATACAATCCTTATGTGCTTCTTAGGAATTACACTTGTAAGACTGAACACTGAGGAATTCTCATCCAAAATCAGATTTACAATTAGCCAGTTTGGGGGCAATGTGACAGAGCAGCACTTGGTATAGTAATTCTGACCTATTCCACTTTCTCACCTAAAAAAGAATACCACTTACCAAGCAAGATTACATTGAGGACTACAGGTAAGCTACATAAAAAGCATCTAACACTTTACCTGGCACATAACAGGTACTAAAGAGTGGTAGTCAGCCATTATACTGCCTGTTAGTGTTTTATACCAATAAACCATGTTTTCCCCCTCTAATTTTTATTTTAAGTGATTTTAAAGAGTCACAAAACAAGTGAAAACCTGCTACTATGTTAACAACTTATGGAACTATAAAAATTACCCAAACCATAGTACTACATCAACATTAACTTTATAGTAATTAAAGTATCAATATTCTCCGTGTTTACTACTAATACACATCCTTTTTTCTGTTCCAGGATCCTAGATCTCCTTAGTTGCAACCAGTCTACAATGGTTCCTCAGTAATTCATGACTGACATAACTCTGGTGTGTGTTTATGTGTTACAAGAAAGTGAACCCAGGGGCACTCTACCACTGAGCTACATCCTCAGCCCCCCCCCCCCTTTTAAAAATGTTTAGTTTTCAGTTTTAGGTGGACACAATATCTTTATTTTTTTAATTTTGTATGTGGTGCCGAGAATCGAACCCAGTGCCTCATGCATGCTAGGCAAGCGTGCTACCACTTGAGCCACATCCCAACCCCAGCCTTTTTTATTTGTAAGTTGCCAAGGCTGCCCTTGAACTTGTAATCCTCCTGCCTTAGCCTTCCAACTTGCTGGGATCACAGGTGTGCGACACCACCCATGGCTGGTTACTTACTTTGTAGAATTGACCTTCAATTTGAGTTTGTATCACATTTGCTAATAAATTAGACTATGGTCTGGCATAACTGGTAAATAATATTACAGGTATATTTGGAAAGCACATACTGCCAATATGTATTAGTGAGGATGCTTTGATTAAAGAGGCATCTGCTCAGATTCTATATTCTAAAGTTAGTATTTTCTTTTTGTAATAATTTCATACCACCTTTAAACTAATATCTTTATTGATGTGTGATTTACATGCTGTAAAATTTCACCCATTTAAAGTATACAATTTAATGGTTTCAGTTTATTCATAAAGTTGTACCCTACCCCTTACACCGTTTTATTTTCTGTGATTGTGAGTTCTGGGCTTTTCATACAAATATCTGACAAAGTACCTTCGCCGTGGTGGTGGTGTGGGAGATCTGCGCCGCCGAGGAGGAGGAGCGGGAGAAGGAGAGCGTCGCCTTCGGGCGGGTGGTGGGGAGGGACTTCTCCTCCGTCTACCACTAAAGCAAAGAAGAATTTAAGTTGTTTGGAGTCAGTGGCATTTATAATGAAGTGCCCAGAAGACCTAACTTTCAGTTTTCATTAGCCCAAGGGACAGCACTTGGTTATACATGTTCTAGAGCAGTGCTCTTCAAAAACCAATGTTTCATTTGTGGTAAGGATAAATATTGTTTGGTGAAATATGCTGCAGGCATAAAAGAGGTGCTCTAGGTTACAACAAAGAATATTCTTAACATGACACAGGTTGAAATAAAGTTTGCAAAAGATTGTTTCAGAGTGCTCCTTTATAATTGGAATGCAAAAAATAATCATTTGGAAAAATACAACTGTGAGATTTATGCTCACCGGGTATGGGCTAAATATAGTCAGGTGTTTGCTGAAAAAAATCTTCAGGTGATTTTGGTTCCTTGTTAGGAACTACTGCTTTACAACTCTCCAATACAGACTTGGCTTAAGACCCAGATTCGGGTATCACTGCTCCTAGTTCTTAATTTGTAAGAATACATATCCACTTGTACACTGTTATCTAACAGCACTATCCCAAAGACAAAAACTGTCCAACTACTAAAGCTATACTGGGTTAAGATCCAAAATTTTAGATTTATGTGGTTAAAATGCAGTTGAGGATCACATAAACCTTAATTTTGAGCTCTGTTGCACACTTAACCAACACATATGAAAAATTAGAATAAAGCCTTGCTGCCTTACAAAAGACATTAAAATATATTCCAAGCCAATTTGTCTTCTTTTGGTTAGTTCACATATACAAAATAGTTCAAATAATTAGTTCTTAATTTATTTGCTTAGGATAGGATTGAGGTTTCCTGTAAATATGTAATTAGAATCTAAAGTTTACTAGGTCTTGGTTCTCCTTGGATAGGAAAAACATCCTTGAATTCATTAAATTTCGTTTCCCATTTAAAATTTGCTTATGGTTTGTGGGGACTAACTTCATTTTTAACACTTTACACATGAAATATTCAAAACCACGCTATATCTCCTCTCCTAAAATATGATATTGAAGGACAATTCCAAATAATTATTCTTCCATCTTTAAATCCTAGACATCTGATAGTAGATGGACTGACTGCAGCACTGGGAACTGAATATGGGGTGCTCTACCACTGAATTTTTATCTCTAGCCCTTTATTTTATTATGAGAATCTTTTAAGTTTAAGTGAGAGTCTTTTAAGCTGGCTTCAATGTTCTCTGGTAAGTAATATTACTAGCCAGGGGTGGTGTTACATACCTGTAATCCCACCAACATGGGAGGCTTAGGCAGGAGGACTCCAAGTTCAAGGCCAGCCTTGGCAACTAAAGACCTTGCCTAGAAATAAAAAATGCAAATGCCTCCACCTCCCGAGTAGCTGGGATTCCAGGTGTGTGCAGCCATGTCCAGCTAAAATACCTTTTTCCCCACCCAGAACAAAATAAGAATATACTAGAGGGGGCTGGGGCTGTAGCTCAGTGGCAGAGTGCCTGCCTAGCATGTGTGGGGCACTAGGTTCGATCCTCAGCAGCACCACATAAAAATAAAAAGTATTCTACCTACTACTACTACCAAAAAAAAAAAAAAAAAAAAAAACCACCACCAACTAGAACAAGGCAATATAACATTAGTTTTGAATTTCCTGTTATGAGGCATGTCTTTCCAGAACAGAAAGTAGTTCCAAAATAGGGCAATCCTATTACTAACCTAACTCTGTAAAACACTTTATTGAGCTAGCAATTTCACAGAATCCAGAGATCACTGTAGATGGGAAAATACTGTAATATCTAATGATCTTTTTTGGCTTTTATATCAATAAATGGTTTCTTCTACAGTGTAAATAAACCTGCTTTGTCCCATATAATACAACACTCCTTATTAATGAGATTACCTAAAATAACCCATCTTCAAAGTCTGAGATATAAAGAGCACAAGAATAAACATAGGATGAGCATCCATTATATGAAAATCCAAACAGCTTCAAAGTCTGAAACTCTGAGTTGCTTGGTACTCAAAAAGTCTTGGATTTCACACTTTTGGATTAGAAATGCTCAACTTGCAAGTCCACCAAAACTGCAAAATCAGAAACACCTCTGGTCCCCAAGCATTTTGCACAAGGATACCCAAATCTGTATTTACGGAAAGAATGAATAGGGCCAAAGCCTTATGTTAACTTTTAACTTCTAAGTTTTTCTTGCTTTAAGTCACCACAAAGTCCCTTCCACTACTAAATCTAGGGAGGTATTATCCAATTATTAGAAAATACCTATATGTTGCTCAAACTGTGCGTGCCTTGATGTAAGTTGATCCAAATGGTAACAAGATATTCAAAATTGAAGTTCAAACGAAGCTCTAAAATGAACACTTCGGGTACAATTCTACAGTCCACTACATATCTAAGAACAGGATATGGTCCTAAATAGGAATTTAAGGCACTAAACTTTTGGTAGGTGCCCTTAATTTACAAAGCAGTTTCTAACCAACCTTTTAGTCACTGGCGATTGCCATCGCTTTCCCATCTGCATCCTGAGAGCAGTGGAGAAAAAAAAAATGTCAAGAATTCCATTCACTAAATTATTTACTTTGATGGAGTTAACCCCTACTGAAGGAGATATTTTTAAAAATGTTCAGGAATTAATGCTATGATTTAACTGGCTTATTCATCTAGTCATGCATATGTATGATACACTGACTCAAAACTTACCTAGTTCTTATTAAATATTAGTAATTACTAATGAAGATGCGGGGACCCAAAAACCTAAAACCCAAACAAAATCCAACCACCTCCTCAAAGTTCTTGAAATGAAGGAATGAACCAAATTCTAAAATAATCCTATAGCCCACTCTTTAAATTATGAACTTTCACCACAGCTATAGAACATCAGGGAAGACCATTAAAGAAAAGTTGTTACCGAGGAGAGGTCTCTTTTTGGCGCTTCCGTGGTGAAGGAGAGGCACTGCGAGAAGGGGAATGTCTCCGCCGCCTGCCTACCTCGCCATTCTTCACATGTGATCTCTTGGGTTGCTCATCTTCTGAAGAGGAGGAGGAGCCAGAGTCTACAATTACACAGTACAAAATAAAACAAAAAATTATCCTAGGTCTGTGCTTAAACGAGCTTGTCTAGGTTTTCTGAATATAGGGTAAGCAAGCATAGATACATTCTGTGTTAGATAACATATACTTCAAAGTCCAGCCCAATTAAGTATTATATAAATCAGAAAGTCATATTCATAATGCAATCCAATCAAAACAATACAAATATGTCTTTTAAGAAATCATGATTTGGGCTGGGGCTGTGGCTCAGTGGCAGAGCACTTGCCTTGCATGAGTAAGGCCCTGGGTTTGATCCTCAGCACCACATAAAATAAAGAGATAACTAAAGATATTGTGTCCATCTATAACTTAAAAAAAAAAAAAAAAAAAGAAATCATGACTTGTCTAGGCATGGTGACGCACGCCTGTAATCCCAGTGGCTTGAGACGATGAGGCGTTAAAAAACTCAGCGAGACCCTGTCTCTGAATAAAATACAAAACAGGGCTGGGGATGTAGCTCGGTAGTAGAGTGCTTGCCTAGCATATGTGAGGCACTGGGCTGTGTCCTCAGCACCACATATAAATAAATAAAAAAATATTTTAAAAAGTTGTGATTTCCCAGACAATAAATTGGTTCTTGTTACTTGAAGCACTTAATGCCAACTGTGAGACAGTGTGGTTTCCATTCTATGAACGAAAAACAAAGACAGTGCATAGACTCAGTCACAAACACTAAATAAGCTAAAAATAATAAAGCATCTGGGATTAAAAAAAACCTTTTTCCCATATATATTTTTTTATATCAGAGATTTAACTCAGGGGCACTCAACCACTGAGCCACATGTCCAGCCTCTTTTTTTGGTATTTTACTTAGAGACAGGATCTCACTGAGTTGCTTAGTGCCTCACAGTTGCTGAGTGTGGTTTTGAACTCTTGATCTTCCTGCCTCAGCCTCCTGAATCACTGGGATTACAGGTGTGTGCTACCATGCCCAGTTCCATATATATTTTTTAAATATATACATATTTTAGTTGTTAACAGCCCTTTTTAAAAATTTATTTACATGTGGCACGAAGAATCAAACCCAGTGCCTCACATATGCCAGGCAAGTGTGCTATTGCTGAAACCCAGCCCCAGCCCATCCATACATATTTTTTAATCCAGCAATTCTAATTACAGATATATCTGCTTAAGTACAACACACACAAAAAAGAAAACTATGAGAAAAAACCTTAATGTTCAATAAATAAGCAGACTGCTCAATAGCTTATGGTACATACTTATAAAAAACACTGAAACTCACTGGGTATGGTGATATATGTCTGTAATCCCAACTTCTCAGAAGGCCAAGACAGGAGGATTGTAACTAGAGGTGTGTCTTGGCAATTTCGGGAGACCCTTGTCTTAAAAGGACTGGAGATGTGGCTCAGTAGTAGAGTGTTTTTTCAACAATTATAACACCCTGGGTTTAACTGCCAGTATCATACACACACACAAACAAAAAAACAAAAACAAAGAAAATACTATAGCTAGCAAAAGAATGAAGCTGACTTATAAAGACTAGCATGGAAAAATGACTTATATATATACCAGGCCACCTTTTTGAGCCAAAGATGCCTACACATGCATAAAAACATTCTGAATATAAGTTTTGGTGGGAAGATTTAGGGAATCAGGAAAAAAAAACTATACTACTTCAGTTTTATACCTGTTTTCTATCTTATTATTTTTTACGTTTTCAGAGAAGGTTCTGCTATGTTGCCCAAGCTAGGCTTGAACTCTCAATCTTTCAGCCTCAGCCTCCTGAGTACCTGGGATTACAGATATATACTGTAGTGCCTGGTGTCTAATATGGTACTGTACTCTATAAAAAGGATCTATTGTTTTTAACTTTTTGATTTAGTGCTAGGGATTGAACCTCGGCCCTTGCACACAGAAATCATGTGCTCTACTTAGCTATACTCTCAGCCAAATCTATTACTTTTTTTGTTTTGGTACTGGAAATGGAACCAGAGGAACTTTACCATTGAGCTACATCCCCATCCCTTATTATTTTGAGACAGGTTCTTCATAAGTTGCTGAGGATGGCTTTGAACTTATGATCATCGTGCCTCAGCCTCCTAAGTTACTGGGAGTTACTTAAATTAAGTTACTTACATAACAACTTAAAAGAATGTACACCTGAGGGAAAACGAGACAGACAACCCTGCTCCCAAACATTTCGATGTGGTTCAAATTCTTTTTTTTTTTTTTAAAAGAGAGGTGAGAGAGGGGGGGAGAGAGAGAGAGAGAGAGAATTTTTTAATATTTATTTTTTAGTTATCGGTGGACACAACATCTTTGTTTGTATGTGGTGCTGGGGATTGAACCCGGGCCGCGCGCATGCCAGGTGAGCGTGCTACCGCTTGAGCCACATCCCCAGCCCTCAAATTCTTGTGTATAATCAATACACACTAATGATTATTTCTTTTTTTGGGGGGTGGGGGGTGTTAAGGGGGGATGATCAGGGATTGAACTCGGGCACTTGACCACTGAGCCACATCCCCAGCCCTATTTTGTATTTTATTTAGAGACAGGGTCTCACTGAGTTGCTTAGCACCTTGCTTTTGCTGAGGCTGGCTTTTGAACTTGAGATCCTCCTGCTTCAGCCTCCTGAGATACTGGGATTATAGGTGTGTGCCACTACACCCAGCCATGATTGTTTATAGTCTTTTTTTACTTAAAAGTGGGGAGGGGCGCAGATAAAAAAAAAAAATTTTAAGTCAATGGCCATACCAGAAGAAGACTGCTGGTTCTGTCGTCTGTATTGGCGTCTCTGCTGCACAGAATCTGCTGCAGCCATTTTGCCACCTTTATCTTCTTCTGAAAGATGGATGCATTTAGAAAGTGCTTCTTTAGTTATGCATACAGATAGTCTGACATATCTGAATAGGAAAATAGATTCTCCAACTTTTAAGTAAGTGTCAAGCAATATAAGTACCATATGAAATAAAGATAAATTTAGTTAAGCATTTATTACAGGTCAGGCTGGGTCCTAACCATTTTATAAATGTTATTTTCGTTAACTGTTAGCCATATGCTATATCATTAATCATTCCCTTCAACCAGAGGGAAGAACCAAATTTGAAAAAAAAAGGGGGGGCAAATTATCTTTTAAAAAACCCACTAACAAAAAAATGTGGCATATATACACAGTAGAATACTACTTAGCAATAAAAGAGAATAAACTCATGGCATTTGCAGGTAAATGGATGGAGTTAGAGAAGATAATGCTAAATGAAGTTAACCAATCCCCAAAAAACCAAATGCTGAATATTTTCTCTGATATAAGGAGGCTCATTCATAGTGAGGTAGGGAGGGGGAGCATGGGAGGAATAGACGAACTCTAGATAGGGCAGAGGGGTGGGAGGAGGCATGGGGTTAGAAATGATAGTGGAGTGTGATGGACATTATTATCCAAGGTACACGTATGAAGACATGAATTGGTGTGAATATACTTTGTATACAACCAGAGGGGAGAAAAAAACCACCAACAAAACTTACCTGATTCAGATAACTCTACTTTCCTAGGCTTTGGTGCTGGTGAAGGTGACTCTCTTTTCTCAGTACCTTTATGTTTTGTCACTATAAAAAATAAGTGGGGAAAAAAGCTTTCAACAAAAGATGACATAAGATATATAGGTATGAATTTAAAAAAAAAAAGAATTTACTAAGAACTTAAAAAAATATTTCTGTAAGACCTTGTTGTCATTATCTGAGGTAGTGGTAGGAATTTTTAAATGTTTAATGAAAAGCCTCAAATTTCTACAATAATTTCTTCCAAACTGTGAGATTCTCAAGAGAAACCCATAACAAAAATAAAACAAACAAACAAACAAAAACCCCACACAACTGGGAGCTGTTATAAGTAGAACTAGCTTTACTCTATGTGTTACTTGAGCCTCACAACTAACACTCACATTCAACTTTGGAGACTTCATTGATATAAAAGTTTTTAAAAAACCAGTATAGTTGGATTCAAAAAAAGCAATAAAGATGATAAATGATTAAGAAATGAGACTGGTTAAATTTCTTCTGGAAGACACTTGGATCTAGAAATGAGAAATAAATGGCCACACCCAAGAGCCTGAAGGCTTTTTATGTAGCATGAAATCTTCACAATAACAAAAATTACCAAACACCAAGACTGAAAGATTCTTCCCAAAGAATTAAGAAATAAAAGGAGAAAACACAAAACCAGTTCTATATCTGAAACAGTAGGAGATCCATCAATTAGCCATTATTATGAACACTGTGGAAAATTATGACAACCACCTTTTCTAAACTTGCTGCATTATACGTACTGTTAAGCACTGTTGCTAGGATCATATCCTCTCTACTCCTCTGCTCCATTTTATAAGGGAAACCTGAGGCTCAAGGAAACTTCACCAGTGACAGAGACAATGTACTCGAGCTAGAATATGAACCCAAGAATCTCTTTTCAGGACATCAGTTTTGATTCCCAACTTGTATCTCTGCTTAAAAATATCCATCCACGCTACAACCAGAATCAGTAGTATATATAGACATAATCATTAAATTACCACAGATTAACTTGATTATTAACCTGTTTTGTTAATATTAACAGGATTCTTAACCTGTTTTGCGTGATGAATGCAATCACCATGGGATGTTTGACCCAGAATGCAGTGACATCTCAGACACATATTCAGAATTCTGTAATGGCTTACTCCAAAGGGCAGTACTTAAGAGAACTAGTGATCTAACAGTAATCTGATCTTTTTAAAGTAATTAAACAAGAAATTACCTCTCTCAATGACCAGAATTTTATTAATGATTATACAAGGCATATAGACTGACTACAGAACTGGGAAAATAATGATTAGCTTCTAATTTTAGTCATCATATATTATGGGAGGAAATAAGGATGGAAAAAGTATATCAAAACTTGTACTTTAACAAATTCAAGGAAATATTTTAACTATTTTGAGGCTGTGTTTCAGTCCACAGACTCTACTTTTAAATATCAGTTAATCCTCAATTCCTGAACCAATTATGAAAGGAATCTAGTTATCCATAAAGCCACATGCCCAAGTAACCACCCTGGAAAACTTGGTTTCAAAACTTGTTTTTGAAACTGGTTGGTTGGATGGAAGAATGCATTTTCCTCCAAGAAACATTAAAAATGTGGTTATGTTTGCAAGATAGTTGGGAAATGCCTGCTTACTAAATAATAAAACTAAACATTTCCCCCACCCCCACAATGGAAATAACACATTTGGAATCCAATTCATCCTCTCATTAATAACCTGGCTAACTAAAACCATCTTAAATTATTAATATTTATACCATCAGACAAGAATCCATTATGTACTCCTACTTTGGTAGGACTGAGCCACACATCATTAATATTATAAATGATAATGTTCCAGGTTTACTTTTCTAGATTTTTATACCACCCTCTTGGCTATCTTACTGATGTTTTACCATAAGTATCCAAGGGGCAAAATCATTCTAGCATGAAGATAGTAATCTAAGAGGCAACTCTAAAACCAGAATTTTAAATTTACTTTACCAGTTCTATTAATTGTTAATCTCTTAGACTTACCCAAAAGATCACTTGTAAAGTCACTCTGTAGCCAGAAATAGTAAAATAACCATTAAGTGTATACAGAGCATAACTTATATGGCTAAGGTTATTTAAATAAACTCAAATTACCATCTCCACAGCTATAGACAGACCCTGTTCAAGATTATCTCACTGAATAAAGCATTATTTTATGTGTTAAGACAATGCCAATTTACCTGTGACATGCCATTGATTATAAAATGTTTCTCTAAGACCCCTTTCAGATGAGACTGTATATTTTACTCCAAATAATTTACCCCCAATTTTCTCAAAAAAATTTTCCTCCCTCCCTCCTACTTCACAGGCCCCCACTATCAACAGCAGAGACCCAGGGCCCTGATTAATGGCTGCTACATGAAATACAACCGTGAACTTCATTATATTTCAACGGTGTACCTACTCTAATTATCCACACAGAGACTGAAATGAAGGAATGATACAGAAACTGAATAAATTCATCTTGCCCTCCATCTCCCTCCTTCAGTAATCAAAGAAGCATTTGGGCGTAGGAAAGCTGGGCAAAGTATTTATTACTTAACTGGGAATGAGAACTTAAATCTATTCCTGGTTGGTTGACCTTGACCATGTTACTTAACGTGAGAACCTGTTTAGATGACCACTGCTAAGGTCTTTTCTAACTCTCAAATTTCATCAGAGGATAGAAACCATGTTAATTCAAAATAAAAGATTATTTCCAAGCAGCTCAACACAATACTCATCTTCAGTAGACATAATAAGGAAACCTCTGACAACACTGTCCACAGTGTCTGGTTTGTCTGCATTCTATTTGGACTGGGAAGCACTATTCCAGAACCTAAAGTAATACAACCAGTTCCTTGTCCTCCACTAAGACTTCTCTCCCATACATGTATTCATTGTATCGTGTTTGCAAAAAGCATATGCCAAAACACAGGAGGACAGCACCTGTGCACTCCTTTAAAAAGGTAACTGATAATTCTTAGACATTCTATTTTAACCAGGATTTAGTCCTTCTGTTTAGTCCTTTCAGTAACTCTTTGGCTATCTGAATGTAAATGGAAAAACTGTTAACTTGTTGTGCTTTTGCAAAGCAACAGTGGGGACCATTTATATTCTTTCCCTAGAGAGCATTCTGGCTCCAGACAAAGGAAAGAAAACTTCACAGGAAAAGACAAATAGACCAGGGCAACAGCAACAAATGTGGATATGATAATCAGAGTTTACGAACGAACTGACATTTTCCCAATTTTGAACAAAAAGTAATACAGTGTATGTTTATGCCCCCTCCCATACTTAACAACTACATCGTATTTAATGATGTGTTACCAAAGTAATTTGATTTAAAATTTGAAAATAATCTACACATTACTTTTTGTGGGTTGCCATTATTTGCTGGGGTTCCTTCCACGGACAGCTAAGTCTATGCCCGTGTGTTGTCACAGAAGTCAAGAAAAAGCAAAGCAAAATTGGCCTCTCTAGATATCACCATACTGCACAGTATAGGGAGGTGATGTGATGTCAAGATACGCCAGCATAGTAGCCTACTAGAAACCCTGGACTCACGAAGTTCACTAACATATACTGAAGATTTTCAGAGTGATCAGAATCTTAGTATATGGTAACCTAGAAAATTATTCCTTAATATCTCATTGATGTTCAATTCACAACAGCTAAGCTATGGAACCAAACTATGTGCCCTTCAATACCTGAAAATGTGGTATATACACAATGGAATATTACTCAGCCGTAAAGAAGAATGAAATTATGGCATTTGTCAGTAAATGGATGGAACTGGAGGCTATCACACTGAATGAAATAAGCCAATCCCCAAAACCCAAAAGCTGAATATTCTCTGATATGTGGGATGAAACAGATATTCTATGTTCATATGTAAATATTCAACTCCACATCATGTTCAACAAGAATGGGAAGTTATACTCCATGTATGTATGTCAAAATACATTCTACTGTCATGTATAACTAAAAAGAATAAAAAGAAAAAATATCCAATCACTGTAGTAGCTTTTACAATATTCCCGTCTCCCCTACTACTTACCTTGCAAGCTGACTGTATCATTCCAGCCCTAAGCACAATTCAGATGGATCTTATATTTTTGTATTTAGTGCAAAAAAAAAAGACCACAACCTTCACTCAGACTAACACAACATTCTACCTGCCTGGCAGGATCACAGATCATAAATTCCTCATAGAAATCAATCTGCAGAACAAAGCAAGGACAATACTCAGAAGAACGCTGCCTCGAACCTAAATTTAAAAAAAACAAATCAGGTTTTAAAAGGACACCATGTCCTTCCTTTGGGAGCACAATGTGGCCAATAAAGAATTAAGGAAGAATACAAAGTCCTCAAATAAGATATCAAATGAACAATCTCTAGGGAAAAATTTAACTAGTCTCATCGAGTAATAAAATGAACCCTGATCAGTGACAATACTTCAATTAGCTGTCCCATTTCCAACAGTCCACAGCTAGTGATGTATTTCTCAAACTGTTCAATGCCAGAGGGCATTCTAGAAAACAAACCACTTTTACATGAAGTCTCTATTTCAACCCAAGAACTTAAAGCATGAAAAGGTAAGAACAAAAAACTTCTTCACACTTCGAGAGTGAACAGGGGACAACCACAGATAGTATGCTCTGAGTAGCCAAAAAGAGAACATAATGTTTTTGTGTGTTTGATTTTTACCTTTACCTGAAGTTCTCCCTGGAGACACAGAAACACGACTTTTTCTTGTACGATTTGACTGCTGGGGTGTTGGGGAATGACGAGTTTTTGGTGGAGGAGTTGCTGGAGGTGATGGCCTGTGTCTTCTCCGAGGAGGACTTGCTGAAGGAGATAACCTACGAGTTTTTCGAGGGGGGCTAGATGTCCTCTTGGGAGGCTTCTTTGGCGGTGACCGGGAACGAGATGAAGAGGATGATGAGCTACTCCCAGACAAGGATGCTGATGAACGCCTTCTTCTGTGGAATAAAGTATTTATATTCAGAAACTACACATTTATAAAAAATTACCTTTATAGGCATGTATGGTTTACATAAAAATACAGCTACTTTTATCCAACTTTTGAGTTTATGTAGCTAAGTACATAAATCAGTCAAAAATAACGAGAAACAAAATCATAACCTACAACAGGAAACAGCTAGTTCTGAGATTAAACAGAAATAACATAATGATAAATACTTCTGATGAAGTTGTCCCTCCAATTATAAAACTTGTCAAGTTCAATGCTATAACACAATAACCAACCAGCCTCTTTCTTCCTTTGGAAAGATACTGGTGTTTTGGAGTTTGCATACAAAATTGGATGGCAAAGTGTTTTTCATTTAATAACACAAAGTCAGGCAACCTTTAAGTTGCATTTAAAAAAAAAAAAGGTGCAAGATTAGGAATTCATTTAGCTACATAAACTTAGAAGCAGGGCCTCTCGAATTCTGCGGCAAAATCTGTGGTAAGTTCTGTGCAATTATGTGTACCTGCAGAATTCACCTTTGGCAGAAGAATTCCTGAGAACCTGAAAAAAAGAAACCCTACCTTAAGTGTGAGATAAAAACTGGCTGAAAGGGAATTTTACACAATCTGCAAAATATTGACTGTAAATGGCTTAGTAAGCACAATCAAAACATGCTATTTGCAAAACTCCAATTATAAGAAATAGCTGTTTCCACTACTGTTCTACTAGAAAGCACCAGCATTCCTTATCTGCTAAAGAGAAATAATCAATTTTAGAAAAGTGCAATGCCTGAAATGGCTGACCATTTATTTATACCACTGGTCTCACCTTTAAGTAGTAACATCAATTCTGTTATTTTTAATAGAATAATTGTTCAATACACCTCAAGAACTTATCATATATTTCTGTGTGTATCTACAAAAAACCTGCATTAAGAAATAAACTTCATGGAGTTTTAATTTGATGTTATTCTTTATTTACAAATTGATTTGGTTCCCTGAAAGAAACCTTACTCAGACATGCAAGGTTGACTGTAAATGGCTTAGTAAGCACAATCAGTAATAGAGCATGTACTTATTAGCATGCTCAAGGCCATGGTTTCAATCCGTAACACCAACCAAACAAAAACAAAATACCCTAACCTGTCCAATGTACAACCTGAAGTTTGGTCATCATCATGGTTCCTTTCAAAAACAGGCAGGATGTTTTATTAAGGCAGCAAAACTCTGCTAAAAGTGTTCTAGGCCTGTACTTGGACATATCTACTCACAATCTCATTTTAGTAATACATTCTAAATCTAAAATTTTACCTTATGCTTATTTCAGAATTATTCAGGGCAAAGAAACTGGTATTGGCAGGGTTAGATTTTATGACTAGACAAACAGCAAATCCCCAATATCAATGAAATAGGATTATGGGAACAGTCAATTTTTGTTTGAACTGTATACAATTTATCTCATCATCTGTATGAGAAATAAAATCACTTTAAAAAATTAAAGCATAATAGTGAATGGATTATTTAAAAACTGGTAAAAGGTAGCTTAGTGGCCCTGTACTCAACTACTTTTCATAAGTTAAGTCAAATGGAAGGTGACTAATTCTCTTTCTTGGATAGAATTTCTTAGTAAAATCCTAAAGGATAAAAATTTAAGTATCCGCAAGAGGGTAGATTTCTTTTTTTTTTTATTTTTCAAAACTGAAATAGACATTTTTTATAGCTCAAACAGCATTACACTTCAAATGCACTACTGCTCTTTACAACACATCTATAATATCATTTATGAGATCTTTCTTTCACTAATGAAGATTATCCTGAAATTATTCTTAAAAATTATACTAAAGTGTCAAGACATTTCACACTTTCAAATTAAAACAACACTGACCGTCTAACAGGAGATCTACTCCTTCGATGCCTTGGTGGAGGAGGCATTCGTCTCGGTGGAGTTCTTCTTCGAGGAGATGGCCGCCTTCTTGGGCTTGGCCGCCTTCTGGGCGAATAGGATCTGTCGAAACAGACAGAATTAGACTGAATAAATCTGGAGCAAAGAATTCCATGACTGTTTTTTCCAAAAGCCAGATTTAAAATATGAATTTCAAGTGCTACAATCTTTTATTCATAGATTTTTATGGTATACAGAAAATTGTTCATGTGTAAATCCAAATAACAACATCTGTACAAATATTTTCTACCACTTTAATATTATTTACATGATTCTTTAGGAAAATAGCACATACAACTTAATAATCTATCCTGAGGACTGAAGTTGTAGTTCAGTGGTAAACTGCTTGCCTAGCATGTGTAAAGCACTGGGTTTGATTTTCCAGCACCACATAAAAATAAAATAAAGGTATTGAGTCCATCAATAATTTTTTAAAAATTTGTCCTGATCTTAAGACTTCAACTCACCTTGATCGGGATCTATGGCGCCGTCTTGGGCGAGTATGAGAAGGAGACCGAGAACGTGTCCGTGATCTTGATTTGGAACGTGACCGAGATCTTGGTCGAGTCTTTTCCTTTTCCTTTTCTTTTTTGGAATTTTTTTCAGGAGAAGGTTCTTTAGGCTCTGGTATAGGTTCAGGCTTGGGAACTTTCAAGATGTCACTGTGGAAATAAAAGCTTATTATTTTTCCTCTTCTACTACAAGCTGTTAAGTCAGTATGACATAATAATATACATTTTTTTTAACAAGGTTTTAAAAATTAACGAAGACTTCTCTCTGGCTCCAAAAAGGTATGTACTTATCAGTAGAACTCACTAAGTGACAATTTCTTCTTTTTTTTTTTTGGTACTGGGGACTGAACCCAAGGTTGTTCTACCACTGAGCTCCACCCCCAGCTATTTTCATTTATTCTGAGACAGGATCTTGCCAAAATTATTGAGGATGGACTTGTGATCCTGATACTTCTGCCTCAACCTCCCAAGTTGCTGGGATCACAGGCAGTGACTAACAATTCTAACCACAATTAAAAACCAAAACAACAACAAAAATAAACCAAAAAACCCTAACAAGTATTCACAATATATTAAGAAGTCAAGGGCTAGGTTTATAGCTCAGTGGTAGAGTGCTTGCCTTGAATGTGGAAGGCACTGGGTTCGATCATTAGCACCACATAAAAATAAAATAAAGGTATTGTGTTCATCTACAACTAAAAAAAAAACTTTAAAAAGTCAAATTAGGGGCTGGGGATGTGGCTCAAGCGGTAGCACGCTCACCTGGCATGCGTGCGGCCCGGGTTCGATCCTCAGCACCACATACAAAGATGTTGTGTCTGCTGAAAACTTACGCTTAAGCACACCAGGAAAATGCTCTACTACTGCACTACATCCTCAGCCTTTGTTTTTATTTTGAGCATGGTCTCGCTAGCTGAATTGTCCAGGCTGGCCTCAAATTTGTGATCTTCCTGTGTTTGCCTCCTGTGTAGCTGAGATTACAAGCATGTGCCACTACACTGATCTAGTAATTTGTTTTAAACTCAGAGATATCATATCAGCAGACACTATCAACAGTCTAAAATTGTGTTTATAAATAAATGAACTTGCCTTGTAGATGTGGCCTCTTGTACTGAAGGTTCTTTTACTTTCACTGAAGGTTCTGGGAGCTCTGGAGTTTTTTCCTTCTTTTCTGGAGCAGGGGAAGGACTCCGGCTCTTGGTTCTGTGACGGGGAGATCGAGAATGACTGCGCTTTCTCTCTCTCCTGACAGGGGAAGACCGTCTTCTAGGGGAAGGAGATCTGGATTTGCGTCTAGGATAAAAGCAATTTTTTCAGGTTTTTGAATAACACAGATTGGTAGAGGGTCAAAAGGAGAAGAGAAGTTTAATCTTTTAAGTTACATCCCTGTTGTTTGTCTCTGAGAAGTTCCACGAGAAATAAGGTATTCTATCTGATCTACTTGACAGGGAAAGGGCCAAGATCAAACCAAAAAGGCAAGCATATGAAGGACACCAACATTCTGAGATGTACCAGCTACAAGGGAACAAAGACCTGACTTGGGACTCTATGCTTAGGTTCTTACTCATCCCCAGAGAGCATTCAAAAATCAACTTTTCAGAGGAAAAGAAGATGCTTTAATGTAAATAGTGATATTCCCTAACAAATAATAAACCAATCTTAACAAAATATGGCATTTAGATAAAGACAGGTCACACAAGCAGAGTCCAAAAACATTACTAGTGAGATTAATGCATTGTGTTTGTCAGAAGAGAAAAATCAAACTTGAATAAGATAGCTTTTGGGGAAGAGGAAAAGGCCCTCTTCCTTTTAAATAATAATTTGCCTAACTTGAAGGTGTTTTCTTCTTATTCAGAGAGACTTAGTTCAATAGTCAAGTCTTAACACTATGATGATTTGTGCTTAACACCAGATACTGTTTCCATAAGCAGTTTTAATATTGAACATAAATGAAAGGGACAAAGAAATTGCCACCTCCCTTTACTAATTCCAGCAGAGACTTATAAAAAGAAAAAAACCCTACAAATGAAAAACCTAATGGAGTTCTCACCTTTTACCACAAACATAGTAGAAGCTGAGTCGTGGATTTAAAAATGTGAACCTAACAATAGTCTCATTGGAAGGAAGAAGAAAACAAATAAATGATCTGAAGTTTGGGTTCATTACAACAATCTAAGAAAAGCAGAACAAGGAATTAGGTAAGTACTATATGAATAGCTAATGAGTACAGAGTTCTAATGAAAAGGAATTAAAAAGAAAAAAAAAGAATGAGTCAGAATACAATTAAAAAACAAACTAATTAAATGCTATACATAAACTAAAACAATATGGAGGAAACCTAGACTTTTATTCAGGAATTAAGAACAGGATAACTTATCAAGATTTTAGAGATGATCATTTTAGTCAAATGATCTGTCTCAAACAAAACACAAAAGATTTCTTTAATCTAGA